TTTCATAACATTTGAAAAACAAATCGAAAGTAACATTTCCTCCTTTGCAAGAATTCTTAAGGAGTGCATGGGGATTGCCGAGAAGTAATGTGTTGCTCATATTCTATTATTTTAAAACGGAAAACTATTAAAACCATTTAAAGATATTTACAACACAAAAAATACACATTACCCTGATCTGATCATTGTACATTATAGTATTGAAACTTCATTATGTACCTCATAAATATGTACAATTGTGTGTTAATTAAAAATAAATAAATAATGCACACACACATATATATGTATACATATGTCATACTCAGTGTGGGTTGTGTTTAATGTGTTTGATGTGTTATTGGAATGGGGTCTTTTTAAAATTTTCATTATTGTCTTTGAGACAGAGTCTTGCTCTGTCATCCTGGCTAGAGTGCAGTGGTGTCATCATAGCTCATTGCAACCTCAAACTCCTGAGCTTAAATGATCTTCCTGCCTCAGCCTCCCAAGTAGCTGGGACTACAGGCATGCGCCACCATGCCTGGCTAATTTTTTTATTTTTTGTAGAGATGGAGTCTCCCTCTTGTTCAGGCTGGTCTTGAACTCTTGGCCTCAAGCAATCCTCCCGTCTTGGCCTCCCAAAATGCCCAGCCTGGAATAGAGTCTTTAAAGTAAGCACAGGGTGTAAGAGCCACACAGGTCTCCAAAAGGCCCAGCCTCTGAGATCAGCACATCCCAAGGATCCACATCTGTAGACACAAGATAGGAGTCGTGCTGAGTCAAGAGGAAGCTCTTATTGAACAATCTCTATAAATAGCCCCTAGCATGTGGGTTGGGATATTAGCGGGTCTGGGAACCAGGAGAATCAGAGCTGGAATTGAGAGAGCTGATCAAAATGGAAACCCCACAGCACAAAGGGTACCTTCAAGGCTTGCCATGGCCTTCTAGAAACACTAGTAAAAAACTAGAAAAACTAGTAAAAATCTTATCATTAGAGCCAATGCCTTTATTGGCCTAGCTCTCCACTAAAATGCATGTAACTTGAGGAGAAAATTGCTCTTTTTTCTTCCTTAAAATAAAAAGCAAGGTGTTATGTGTACAGTAAGGAGAACACATCTTAAGTGGGCAGTCAATGACTTTGTACACATGTATACCCCCAGGTTAGCACCACCCACACCAGTATATAGAACATTCCCATCACCCCAGAAGGCTTCCTCTGCTTCCTCCCAGGTAAAATCCTCCCCTCAAAGGTAAGGGCCATTCAGATTTCTATTGCCATAGATTAGTTTTGCCTGCTTTTGAACTGCCTATAAATGGAATCATACAGATGTACACTTTTTAAAAAAATTTTATTGCATATTTTATTCATTCTGAGAATGAATGCAAAATCATAAAATATAGTCTCGAATCATAAAATATGGTAAAGGACACAAATGGATATTTCAAGAAGTTTTGTAGAAATTAGAAAGAAGTTGCCAAAGAGAAAGTATGCTGCAACGAGAAGTAACTGTATATACATCAATAAGGAGTCTATATAAGTTAAAATGTACTGCATTTTAAATTCACTTGTGAAAAATCTAAATTTACAAAGAAAAAGTACAGAAGGACCTTTGCAAATGAAGTCTTCAAGTCGATATGCAATTTCCTGTCTAACTTTTCACGTGCTAATTCTGCAGAGTGTGATGTGGCTGTCATCCAAGGAAATCCCTACCAGAGTGTCACTCTCCAAAGGGTGCCTGGGCAGAGGACCTTTGAAGGAAGACCTAAGAGGGAATAAAAAGGCTCTAATGGGAACTGAGAGTAACTTTTGGGGTTTCATAAAAAAAAAAAAAAAAAGAAAACTGAAAAGGAAGTAAAGTATGAAGCTGGTAAGGGAGAGTTTAAAAAACAATAACAACTAAAACACTCCCGTTTGTTAAACTGGAGGTGCCTCTGCCCAGGATGTGTGAGTTTCTGGAATATGTGGAGAAGGCAGTCTGCTTCTGGAATATGCTTCTGAGTTTCTGGAATATGTGGAGAAGGCAGTCTGCTTCTGGAATATGCTTCTGAGTTTCTGGAATATGTGGAGAGGCAGCACCCTTGTGGCTGGTGTGTTCCCGCCTAAGCCCCCCCCCATCTTTCCCAGCCGTCCACAGGCAGAATTCCCACCACACAGGAAGGTCAGGAGAAAAAAAACAGTCGTTCTTCCAGCAGTGAGGTAGCCACTACGGCATACAGGATGTGCTCTTTTATGTCCAGCTCCTTTTGCTCAACATTGCGTCTGTGAGATTCATCCCTGTTGCTGAGAGTGAAAATAAGCCCTTTCAGGTGTTAGCAGTGACAGCCACACCTGGCCAGACACGTCTGCGATTGTTTGTCCCACAGTCCTTTTCTATGTCACCAAACTATCATCTCTCACCTTCCTCCCTCACAACACACAGCCATATAAATGGACAAATAAAACTCCCATAGGAAGTATAATTTTTATACTTTAAATGTTTTTTCCCCGGAGTCTGAAAGTGACACATATTCATTAAAAAAACTTGCCTAATTTGTGGCCAGAGAGTAGGAACCAGGGGTCAGATGCTCCCCCCAGCTCCTGGGAAAGTATAGGAAAAGGAAAGACTTGCCCAGTTTCCCAGAATGTCTCTGAATTCCTCAACATGTACACTCTCATGTGCTGTGCCAGAGCCAGCTTGTCCGGGCTCCTAAGATCTGACCGTGCACACCTTTCCCAACTCGCGTCCACAGCTTCACAGTGGTGACCAAAGGGGGACAATTTGTACCATGAAACCCGGCAAATGCTATAAATCAAGGCTTTGAGGGGATTTGTTTCAGAGAGGCTGTGTCTACACACTTCCCAACATACCCCCGGTGGATTGATTCCTCAGGCTCCTGGGCTGGGTCCTCCTGCCTTCACCACCCCACGCTCCAGGCCTCCATTTCCCCCCCACACGACCCACCTCCATCACCCCTTCTCTGGTGTCCCCCCCCCCAGGCCACCCTCCACACCACAACAGCACTGGCCCAACACTGATGTACATCAGGGCACAGGGCCTCATGGGTGGACATCGTACTGGGAAAACAGGATAAATGACAGCTTTCACAATGAGCCTTTCCATGGCCGCTGTGTGAATGCCTTACTGGTAGCCAGAGTGGGCTTCGTTTTTTTTTTTTTTTTGAGACAGGGTCTCACTGTGTCACCCCAGGCTGGAGTACAGTGGCGTCATCATAGCTCACTGCAGCCTCAAACTCCTAAGCTCAGGCAATCCTCCTGTCTCAGCCTCCCAAGTCCTAGAACTATAGGTGTGCACCACCATGCCCAGCTAAATTTTTCTATTTTAGTAGAAACAGGGTCTCACTCTTGCTCAGGCTGGTCTCAACCTCCTGGCCTCAAGCAACCCTCCTGCCTTGGCCTCTGAAAGTGCTAGGATTACAGGTGCGAGCCACTGTGCCGGGCCAAGAAGTGGGCTTTCTGAGGCACCATTCTAGGTAAATGCCGTCCAATTCTGTAAGCATCCCCATCTCTATGCCTTTCTTGGTGCAGACCCCTGTCTGGGGAGGCCCACCTCCAGTACCAGCTCTTCTAGAAAGTCTTCCTGGAGATCCCAGGTTACTGCCAAGGCATTTTGTTTGTGCATCTTTGACAGTATTTGCCCTTGGCTGCCTGGAGTTAGGGGTTAACTAGGTACAGTGCTGCTTTGGCTTTAAAAAAAAAAGTGAGTAGCGTGTCCTCAGGTTTGATAACTTGGAAAATACCTTCCATTTTTCTAAACTTGGCACCAAAACTTATAAAATGATGAATCAGTAGAGGGGAGAGTTCATTTGTTGGCTTATTTGTGTGAAAAGTGTCACCTGTCTGCCTCCCTCCCCCAGATGAGCAACTCCTGAGGAACGCATGCCTGGATTCAGGATCTCCAGCAGTGCCTGCCCTGGGCAGGCCCCCAGCCTCTCCACCCTTTCTGACGTGCAGGAGGCCCCTGAGTCCCATCCCCTAGCACGGTGCAAAGTGGCATTTGCAGGGCCAGAGGGGATGGCTGCCCCCAACCCCTCCTGCTACTCCAGGGAAGAGGCTGGGACTCAAGGACTCCCACACAATGTCTCCATTGACACTTAAGGCCAAGTCAGCTCCTGGGTGCTATGGAAACCTCTCTTGGGAGCCCTGAGGGAAAGCAACAGCCCAGTCCTCCCACACTAGGCCCATTGTCCCCTGAGCCGGCCCTCCCTGAGAGCAGCCCCCACCACCCCTTCCCAGGCTGCAGCTTCTGGCTCCCACCACACCAACAGCACCGGCTTTCCTCTTGCTGGCCGGGCCTGGGGGGGCCAAAGGGAGCTCACCTGTCCCAGGATCCACCATCCGGATCCGCCCTCCTTATTCCCCATGAAATCAAGATGGTCCCAGTAGTGGGGCAAGAGAGCTCATTTCTCAGTTGCCCTGAGCCCTGAGTGTGGAGGGGCACTGGGCAGAGAGAGGCACCTCTCTCTCTCTCTCTGGGTGGCAGACTTACACTCAGAGCAGGCCACCCAAGCCTGGAGGGGGATGGCCGGGCTCTGGGAAATGTCTCTGGAATAAATCCATCTGGGCCACCCAGTCCCTGGTTCTGGCTGCACGCTCCACCCATTCTTCTCCCCTCTTCCAGTCCTGGAAACTTCCCCAGAAGTCACCCCACTGCTGGTCCCTCCCCCGCAGCTCCGCATGTCTCCTTGGGCCAAGGCCCAGGCCTAGCGGCACAAATCCTGACACAGAAGAAAATCAGGGAACGTAAGGGCAGAAGAGGCCTGAGAAACCAGCGCCCTGCGTCCCTCTCCCACTGCATCCTCAGCTGCCACTGTACACAGGAGGATGTGCCCAGGGCGCACAATTCAGTGCTGTGGCTGCTTCTCCCTGCTCTGCCCTGCGACTTGATCGCAAGCTAGGAGTCTGCCACACCCTTGCACGCAGTGAAACCCACAGGGGCTGGAAGCCCCCGACCCAGCCCCACCCAAAGTGGGGAAGTCAACACTTAGACGGAAGGGCTAATGATAACAGCACCTTCTCCCACCAGCAGTCCCCCCAGGTGTCCTCATAACTGCTCCCTTCACGGATACCCAGACGGCCCACAAGGGCAGCTCCCTGGAAGCAAACGTGGCCTGAAGCTCCTCAGGCTCCCCAGCCTCCGGGAAGGAGGGGCCGTCTGAGCGGGAAGCGGGGAGCCTGGGCATCGGCTCCACAGCTGGGGGAGCTCGAATCCCAGGTGGGCCACCTGGGACAAGTTAGGTAATGTCCCTTAGCCTCCATTTCACCATCTGTAGAAAAATCGTGATAAAAATTGTCTACCACCTTGTTGGGTGATAAGAATTTGACAAGACACTCAATGGAAAATGTTTAGCACAGCACTGGGCACGCTGAGAGCACACGGAAGCAGACCATGGCACTATTATCATCTATGACAACCTTTTGCCTCCAGAACTCTAGGCACCAAGTTAGGTGCAGGGGGGTGAAACAGTCTGGGGGAGAAGACCCTTAAGTGACCCCCAGAGGGGCCCGAGCTCTCCCGAAGGCAGGAGTCCCTGGCCCGAGGGAGAATGACAGGGCAAACGGTTGACTGTCAGGCAGCCGTGTGGCCCCCAACAAAGGGCCCCCCTGACATTCCTGTTGGGCTTTAACAGGGGGTGGCCAGTGAGTTCCTGGAATGTCCAAGAAAAACAAACTGGTTATTCTGAGTGAAATTGCAGCCTGGCTTCGGCGGGCTGAGTCTGCTTTAAATTAAACACAGCATTTCTGAGATTCTTTTCATCTCCTTGCCACTGTGGGTTAGTGGAGACATTACCTCACCTCACCTTCCGCTATGAGGTGGGGAAGCCAACAGGGCGTGGGGCTGGGTGTGGGGTCGGGAGGGGGGCCGAGAGCCCACTGGGGCTCCCGGGGTCCCTCCTCACTCCAAGAGCCCAACCTCCCACTGGGGCTGGAGTGGTGGATCCGTGGGGACGAGGGCAGACAGGAGGTGCACCAGCGTGCAGTCACCCCTGCCTGTCCTTGGTGTTTAGCTAAGGAGTTACAGCATTTTCAAACATACTGCTTTCCTAGGAGCACTTGAGAAAACTGGACTGCAGTCTTACAAGTCCAAGGTCAGTCCTTTTCTTGCTCCCTATCCAACATTTAGGTGCTGGGTGGCCATACCTGCTGGGTCCTCAACAGAACCTCAGTGTGTTTTAGCTCGAAAGGTGATGGAAAGGCCAGTTTCTCCGCTGGGTATTTTTGGTTGAGGGTGGAGTTCCCCTCTGGTTCTGCAAGTTGCTTTTGGCCCGCTTTGCCAGCTTGTGAAATCCTAGAAAATTCTGTAACGTTGCAGTTTGGCAAACCTGAGTGTGAATTCCAGCTCCCTCTGTGAAGTCGACCTAATCTTACTCTGATCCTGATTCTTTAAAACAGGGGCAAGGATGCCCACCTTCCCGGGTTGTTACATGGGTTAAATGAAGTTGCTCAAGGTTCTTCTGGTAAGTGACATATACCCAAAATTCTTTGGTTATAAGAAATAGAAACTTCCTCCAGCTGCCTTATGTAAAAGGGAAATTTTTTGCATAGAATCGGGGGAGTTTCACGAAGACAGGCTGCTCAGTTCTCAGACAGAGAACTGAAATCAGGAACCAGAGAAGGGATTCATAGTTTCTCTCCTCTTGCTCTTAGGGCCTCAGTGCCAGGCCCCTTCCCTTGCAGACCATTAACTCCGAGCCCAGCCTTGGCCTGACAGCGTTTCTTCCTGTTATGTTCACAGTTAGAGCTCAGTGAACCACAGACAGCCGATTTCTGCTGTGCTGAATACTCTGCCCCTCCAGACCCACTCACTGTCCTTTCTTCTCCATCCTGCCCTGTCCCTGGGGACTGACCTAGAGGAACTGTGTCAGCTGAGCTCCCTCACCTTCTGGGTGCTGACCGAGTTCAGTGCCCCATGGGGACTAGTGGGAAAGTGGAAGGCAGGAGGAGAGAGGCGGTAGGGCACTTACTGTTCTGGTTCTTTCTTTGCCCGTGAGATGTGGTTGGTGGGAGTGTTTGGTTCCTGTACTGGAGGCCACAGCGACTTCCCTGAGAGCTCCTCCTTCCCCCATAGCTCTCTATAGTTGGTTCTTGTGACCACCTCCTTCCTAGTTCCTTCACGCTTACAGCGGTGATGGCTCTGTCCCTACCCTGGAGGTGCCGCGTCATCCCTTGTTCCTTTCCTTTGGTGTTGCTCACATCTTTGAAAATAGTCCACTCGTTACAGTCTCTCCAGTGGCTGAGTCATAACTGTGAACCGCCATCGCTGCCCTGCTGGGGCTCTGCCTGCTATAACCAGATCTGGGGGAAGACAGCTCGTCTCCTTGCTCCACCTTCCAGGCTGGCTCTTGTAAGAAACAGAAGAAGAGCTAGAAGAACTTCTAGGTTTGAAATCGGATCAGAAATAAGATAGCCAGAACTGAAAAGACACCCAGAATTCCGCCAGGAATGAAAAATAATAAATGTGCACCAGGTGCAGTTACTTCTTGTGTAAGAAACTCTCTATTTTCTTGGGAGAATGTAACCACATGAAAGAGTTGGAAACATGCCACCGATTTGGTCAGGGCCACTCTCTTTCTTCGGACACAGCTGCCTGAATGAAAGTCAGAAGATATTATTTTAATTGTTGATTTTTATTTTTCACCCCTAAATTCGTAGGATCAGTTACCAGAAAACCTGTCTTTTCTTTCCGGTTTGACTCATGCACACCTCACTCCTGGCTTTGACTAGGACATAGCCTGTGGCCTGTCTCTGGTCCATCTTCCAGTCTGCTCCCCAGCCCTCTGCCAAATTGTCTTGGCTTGACCCAGGTCTAAACACGTCAAGCCCCAGATCAAAGCATTTCCTGGCTTCCTGTTGAAGCATCTGAATGCTGCAGGGTGATATGCAGGCCTCTGTCATCAGTCTTCAACTTTCTGGCCTGCTCCCTATTTCAGGAATTTCCCACTCCTGAAAAATCAGATCTTCCTCAATAACCTCCCCATCCTTCCTCCCCACTCTCTCCGTCTATTCTTCCACATGCAGCCTGAACCCCAACCCCAGCGAAGGCCTTCCCTGCCCACTTGGTAGGGGGTGCTCCTCACGTTGAACCCCTGAACTACCTGCCTATCTTCAGGTGCAGAGTCCTGACCTGGCCTTATGAATGCCAGAGGATCCCAGGCCTGCTTTTGTCCATAGAAAATGCGCAAGTCTTCTGTTCCTTTTGAGGTGAAGCATCGGTTAGTTTCAAACGTCTTTGGTTATGCACACAGAGCTTTGAGTATCTAATACTTGTGATCACTCTATCCTCGGTTGCACTTCGGCCTTTACAGCACTGTAACAACGAATATCATGCAATTAATTTTTTGGCACTTGATTATGAATGCCTTTAGAAAACATAGACTTGTGGGTTTCTTTTCATTCCTGGGAAAATTCTAGAATGGTTAAACATTAGGATTGAGATTATTTAGAATAGAAATTAGAAATGAACAGAATGCAAACTGGAATATTTAAAAGGTAAAAGAAAAAAAACTGATCATTGGAAGCCAATATAAGTTTACTAAGAACAAATCATGCCAAATTCATCTCATTTTCCTTTTTCATACAGTCATCAAGCTGATAGGTTAGAGATTTTCTATAGATACAGATTCAAAGAATTTTAGGTGACGTGAATTGGTTTCCACAAGCCATAAAGGGGAGCCTGTCAGGATAGCTATGGTAGTCATTAGTGCTGTGCACAGATAATCAGTTTCTCTCCCTCATCCACATAGTAAGGGTGCATTTCCTTGCCCTCTTTCCGGTTAGATGTTATCATGTAAACTACATTAGCCGATAAAATGTGAGTGGAAGGACACCCCATGATGAATGAGCCAATGTACAGCTAGCTCTTGGATGCATACTCACAGACAACAACTGAAGTCAAGTCCGGGCCCTGTTATCAGCCCCTCTGAAGGGCAGGCTAAAGAGAGGAGGACGCTTTGAAGTAAATAATGGCAGTGGCTTTGGAAGTAAAGAGACATTAAAGCAGAAGGAAGTGCTTAAAGTGACAAGAGGCAGGCTTCTGGGTGAGACAGTGGGCCCAAGTGTAGATACATCAGAGTCAGAGTGGTCAGAGCCAGGAGGCAAGACACCAGGATCAGATGGCTGGTGGCTGGTTCTGTGACCTTGGCCAGGTCACATTCTAGGCCTCTCTTTCCTTCCCGTACATCCCTAGGGGCTTGGTGAGGGGAGCATAAGTACCTTTTGAGAGAAATACTGCCGATAACTTTTCTATATCCGTGGATATTGAAAGTTACCTCGGAGAAGACTTGGTGGTTCCCCCCTCTTGAACCTTAGTGGCCATTGTGAATTATGCAAAAACAAGAAGAGTGGGCCCTGATGCCACAGAGCCCAGGTGTAACAGGAGCTTTAGCAGCCAGACATGGTCTGTCCCTCCAGCACCCTCCGTACGTAGAGATGGCTGACTGGGGGCGGAGAAGGGGTCTAGGGAGGCAGAACGAAGACCCCAGCTGCTTCCCTTCTGAACACACTATTATTAGGACCTCCCTCATGGGCCGGGTGCGGTGGCTCACACCTGTAATCCTAGCACTCTGGGAGGCCGAGGTGGGCGGATTGCTCGAGGTCAGGAGTTCGAAACCAACCTGAGCAAGAGTGAGACCCCATCTCTACTATAAAATAGAAAGAAAGTAATTGGCTAACTAATATATATAGAAAAAAATTGGCTGGGCATGGTGGCACATGCCTGTAGTCCCAGCTACTCGGGAGGCTGAGGCAACAGGATTGCTCAAGCCCAGGAGTTTGAGGTTGCTGTGAGCTAGGCTGACACCACGGCACTCACTCTAGCCTGAGCAACAAAGCGAGACTCTGTCTCAAAATAAAAAAGGACCTCCCTCACAGATTGGGAGAGGCCCTGCACAGGACATCATTGTCCTGAAAGGGAAGGAGGGCAACAGGGCCTAGAGGACTGTGGGGAAGGCTGCTCTGGCAGAGCATCTGGCCGAGTCCTGTAGTCCCCAGCGCTCAGGCATATCAACCTCTGCTGAGGCTGAGAATACAAGGGTGAACTTGGGACTCCTGCACAGGAGAATCCTGAGGCTTCAGGACAACAAGGGTGTTCCTGTAGCAAGGACAAAGCTACATCCAAGACTCAGCATGGTGGAACAGAAGCAACAACAACTATCTCAAACTTCAGCCTCTTCTCTAGCAAGGCTGGGCGCTTTGGGTTGGCTCAGCCCCAGGAGTTCTCAGACAATGGGGGCGGGGTGGGGACAAAGGGAGAGGAAAGCCTTAAAAAAGAGATGCCTCTTGTAATAGAGGCAAGTAGGTGCTCAAGCAACTCATGGTGGAAATCCAGCAGGTACTTTGCCTCCAGCTTACAATGTGAATCACAGCTATTCCATGAAAAATGGGTGTCCTAAGACTAGCCCACATTTCACCTGTGGGGTTGTGAGATAATACACAAGAAAGTGTATTAGTAAGAAGTAAGAAGAGTTACACAGACATGAGGGTGGCAGAGACTACCGTCTATTCCTCCCTCCTTCTTTGTATTAATAGATTAATAGATTCCTCCCTCCTTCTTTGTATTAATAGATTAAGTCCTGAGACTTAGCTGGGCTCATGGTCACCCAGCTAAAGTCTTCATCTCCCAGAATCCCTTGCAGCAAGATGTGGCCATGGCCTGAGTCTGAGCCAATGGGATGTGAATAGAAGTGATGTGCACAGCTCCCAGATGACATTATCATCAGTAAGCTGCTTGTCCTCCTTTATTCTGTCTTGAGGGTTGGAAACTGCCATGGTGCTGGTTAGTGAGCAGTTTTGATAATATGAATGAAGAAATCCTGAGGGATGGTGGAACAACAAGATAGGAGGCACTTGACCCCTAATAACCTCCTTAAACCAAATGGCTGACCTATCTTTTGACTGCCAACTTTTGACCAGTTTCTCGGGCAAGCTGTATAGACTTCTAACTTGTTTGAGCCACTGTATTCACTGTATTTGAAGATATCTTTGTCACCTCACTTGTGTCTTCACTAATACAAGAGGTTATGAATCCTACTACAAAGAGTGTTGTCCAGCTTCCTGCTTCTGAAGATTGATGGTGGAATGACTTGTGGTCATGACCCTATTGGTATATTTTTTCCATTCATCATTCCTTCATTCAGCCTTTGAGGCAGTCCACTGATGCTTATTGAGAGCCTCCCAGGTGCCAGGTGCTCTGTAAAGGGCTGGAGATATAATGGCAGACAAAATAGACATGGGTTCTGCTCTCGTGGAGCTTTCGATCTAGTGAGGAAACAAGCATGAGAGAAATAATTCCACAAATAAGGCCGGGCGCGGTGGCTCATGCCTGTAATCCCAGCACTCTGGGAGGCCGAGGCGGGAGGATCGCTCAAGGTCAGGAGTTCGAAACCAGCCTGAGAAAGAGCGAGACCCCGTCTTTACTATAAATAGAAAGAAATTAATTGACCAGCTAAAAGTATATATATATATAAAAAAATTAGCCGGGCATGGTGGCGCGTGCCTGTGGTTCCAGCTACTCAGGAGGCTGAGGCAGTAGGATCACTTAAGCCCAGGAGTTTGAGGTTGCTGCGAGCTAGGCTGATGCCATGGCACTCTAACCCGAACAACAGAGTGAGACTCTGACTCAAAAAAAAAAAAAAAAAAGAAAGAAAGAATTCCACAAATAAATTTCGCATTACAGAAATTACGCATTGTGATATGTGTTTGAATTAAAAGTATAGGATGTCATAGAAGAATATGGAAGGGTCTTCATTTAGGTTAGAGAACTCTAGAAGGCCTGGAAGACTTTTAGGCTGAGATCTGAAGAATGAGTAGAAATTGATCAGGCAAAGAGCTGGAGGAGAGTGTTACAGCAGCAGGAACAGCTTATCTTTTACTAGAGGTAAGAAAGAGGTTGGCACTTCAGACTCAGGAGGGTTATCATGGCCAAAAGAGGCCAAACCATGAGGATAATGCCTTAGAAAAGGTCAGGGGCAGAGAGTCATAGAGGCCAGATCATGCAATGCCTTAGAGGGCATGTGTGGTAGGCAGGATTCTAAGAGGACCTCCAAGGTTCCTGTCTTCTGTGTACACACCCTGCATGGTCCCTTCCCCTTAAGTGTGGGCAGGACCTGTGAATATGATGCGTTATCATTCCTGTGATTAGGTTACGTTATGTGGCAAATGTGGAAGCATTTTGCAGATGTAATTAAGGTGCCTAACCAGTCAACTTTAAGTTGATCAAAAGGGATATGATCTTCTTCGGTGGGCATGACTATAATGTCAGGTTATATGAGTGAGCCTTTTAATATTAATATTAATGGAAGTTACAGTTACAAAAGGACAAATACTGTTTATTCCACTTCTATGAGGTTCCTAGAGTAGTTAAAATCTTAGAGACAGACAGTAGAATGGTGGTTGCTAGTGGCTGGTGGAAGGTGATGGGAAGTTATTACTCAGTGGATACAGAGTTTCAGTTTGCAAAGAAGAAAAGAGTTCTGGAGATGGATGGCAGTGATGGTTGCCACAATGTGGATGTACTTAATGCTACTGAACTGTATACTTAAAAATGGTTAAGATGGTCAATGTTATGTGTATTTTGTCACAATTTTTTAAAGAGAGAGTAT